AGATAGATAGATAGATAGATAGATAGATAGATAGATAGATAGATAGAATAGATAGGATAGATAGATAGATAGATAGATGACAGACAGATAAAATATGTGATAGTTTAACAGGTTAAACAATGGTGAAGTTAAACATAGAGCCTTGAAACAATTAAGTCTGGCTAACTAAAAGAATCCTCCTACCCAGCTACACGACAGAAGTCTAAATTTGTATGTGTGTGTGTGTGTGTGTGTCTGTGTTTCCGCAGAAGGGAGAGCATTAGAGCCCGTGGAAAAGAAACGGCGCCAGCAGCTCGAATACCTGGAATCGGCGGAGTTTCAGGAGATCCTGAATGCACGCTCGAAACACAACGGCGTCCTTAAAGAGGTGAGCCCGTCCTACGTAAAAGTGTTGGGAGGGCGGCCAAGAATCCGTCAAGGAATCGACCAAGCCCAAAGTGTGGCTGTGCTTACATCTTTGGCATCCGTTTTTCCCTTTGTTTCACGGACGTGCGAAAGTTGTAAACATCAAAGCGCTTTTAAATTTGGTAGATTGGACCATGAAGGTGCTTTTCTGTCACTGTCATAAGTGGAGCGGATGTGAAATCGTTGCTAAACAAGGATGAACTCAATTGGGCGACTTGGAAGGGTACAGCTCTTAACTTTAAAAAAAAAAAAAAAATTTGGTGATCCAATTTGAATGAATTTTATAGTAGAACTTGAGGTGCTGATTAAAGTTATCTTTAAGCATTGGGTTTCAGGTAAAGTACCTGTGGTAAACACTATTGTAATTTAAGTATGTTTTTTTAATTAGGATTTTTTTTTAACTGGAACATATCTTCCATTAAACAGTGTGTCATCTGGGTACAATTGTCTGTGCTATTACAATCCAAATTTACAGTATTCGTTACTTTGATAATAAATCCCTAATCTTACAATAATAATAATCAGCATTATGACCCTATTCATTTCTCTGCCTTAACATGCCTTCTAATGAAAATATAATATATTAGGTATAATAATCTTAACAATCATATTAATAATACTGTTTATATCACTATCTTAACATCTATTCCTTATTTTATTTATTTTATTTATTTCTCACTTCTGTTTTTATTCTCCAGCCCTCCATAAAATAACCCCCATGTCATATAATATTCAGTTTGTTCTTTCTCCTTTATAGCAAGCGTTCATCTATTCATTTCTGCACATTCTAATATTTTCCTAATCACATTCTCCTCCATAGGGATCTCATCACTTTTCCAATTTTGTGCAAATACAATTCTAGCTGTAGGTAATACATGTTATAATTAAATATGCATTTCCTTTACTGTAAGTTTTGGGCAGAATCACCAACAAAAATATTTGTGGTTTTAAATCAATATGCTGTATGTTAACCTAGAAAAACTCCCAGTTTTCTTTTTGACGGTCAGATGTTTCAAACCAGGCATATCTCAAGGAAATTTGCCCATAAGTGTGTTGGTTTATGACTTGGTTCTAATACAATAATTGTATTTCAGGGTTAAGATCCAGATCCTCATTTAGCAACTGCCTCAGGCAATCACCGTGATGCTGATGAAAAAATAACTTTCCAATTATTTTTATAACTGTGCAAACTGCAACCAACTCTCAAATTTAAAACCTTCGCTGTTTTGGAAAGCAGAAGAAAGCTAAAATATTTCTACTCTGTGCATCTTAAATGTTTAAGTGAAGTTTGGACTAACTATTGCTTCTGGTTTGTAAATATACCTCCTCCAACTATTTAAAACCCTTAGCAATGTTATTTATATAAAAAAAAACCTCGAGGATAAAAATAAATAACTTTTCCCCAAGGCATTTGAAGCTAGGAGATTAGGTGACGTCTGAAGTTGGTGATGTGGCCTTTCTG